CTGCACTCCAGCCTGGGCAACAGAGAGAGGGGAAAAAAAAAAAAAAGAACTGGAGTGGCCTAAAAGTTTTAATCACTGCCTTAGCACATGTCTGTTTCATCACAGCACATCCTATGGCACACTGGTAGGGCCCTGGGTAGTTCTGAATCAACATCCATGTATTTAGCTATCACCAATATGCAAATAACAGACAATTATATGTATTCAGCCCAGGCCTTGTTTCTTAGTCCTAAGAAATAAAGGCTAAGAAGAGATGTGACAATTGGATCTACAGGTCCCCATTTGGTCCCAAAAGGACCTGTAGATCCAATTGTCACATCTCTTCTTAGAGATGTTGGGACCAAACAGGGACCTATAGATACAATTGTCACATCTCTTCTTGGATATTTGAAAGGATCTGTAATACTTCATGTCTAAAACTAAGTTCATTATCTGTGTTCCCCAAAACTTAGTCCTACCCTGGTGTTCTCCATCTTAGTGTAGGTAATCACAGCATGGAGTTTTATGGCCTGAACTCTAGGAGATATCCTTCTCCTTCACTCCCATGTGCAATCCATCATCAAGCCCTGTTCAATCCACCTTCTTAATGTCATCCCTTATCTCTCCATCTGTACAACGACCTGAGTCCAAGCTACCAAAATAGTTCACTTAAATTGCCTGAATTACTACAATAACCAAAGAAGTCATCTATCCCTGTCTACTCTAGCCAATCCTGTAATTCATTCTCTAATCTATAGAGTGATTTAAATAGTAATAATAAGATTTAATCCAGTCATCCCTTTGCTTATGGCAATATTCCTTAATATGACCAACAATACCCTGGATGGACTGATTCATATTCATTATTCTGGTCATCTGTTGCTGCAGAACAAGTTGCCCATATGCGATTGTAGTAAGAATTTGGCTAGGGCTGGAGTCATTTGAAGGCTTAATTGGGCTTGGCATCCAAGATGGCATCTCCCTTCAAATGTCTGAGGGGTAGTCAGGCATCTTTCTACGCGGCTAGTTTCAGGTTCCATAAAGCATGGCAGTCTCAGGGTGTTCTACTTCTTACATGACAAGTTACTTTCCCCAGAGTTTACTTTACAAAGTAAACCAAGACAAGAGCTGTAAAAGCTCTTCTGACCTAGCCTCAGCATATCTTCTACCTTATTGTAGAGTCAAAATCCAGTCATGGCATCCGCCCAGATTCAAAGGGAGGAAGCTGAATATCAGAAGACATAGTTCTTTTAAGGGGAAAGAGAGCCTTCAGAGCTCTCTCCAGTCCCATTTTGCAGCACAATCCCTATTGCTGTTTCCATTTTAGCCACGTTGGCTTTCCTTAAGTTCATTATACTTGCCATACTCCATCCTGATGATGGCTTTGCCAATACTGCTTTCTTTGCCTAAAATGTTCTTGGGTTACCCCTTTTGCCAAGTTAACTCTTTTCAACTTTCTGATTTCATTCAAGTATGAAGAAAGCCTTCCCCAACTCCCTCAACAAAATTAAAACTTAATTTATGCTCTTAAGGTATTGCATATATTTCCAGCACTGTCTTCATCCCCATTGCATTTTGCATTTGTTTGTATGATTACATAATTTATTTCTCAATACTCCTACTACACTGGAAGAAGAGCAATATCTGTTTTTCCTCTCCTACCACAGACTTTGGCTGGAATTTATTTATTTGCTGAATAATAAATAAACTAAGTAAATCAAACTGTCTTCCTCTGTATAATGAATTATTTTCCCTTTATGAATTATAGTGAAGTATATAATCCCATTACCATATTCAGTACATAATGAGACAACCCCAGATATAAACAATTTTCACAAAGAAAATCTTATAAATTCAAAGGTCATATTCTTTTGTTATATCCTACCTACAAAATTAGCAGATGTATAAAGGAATCAATTAATACATCAAAACTGTAAGTTTTGTGGTATTTCTTTCAATCTCCTTTCAAATGAGCCTAAAAATGTCTTTGATTTTAATTTCTATACCTAAACAAAAAATTTCAAGTATACTAAATGAAGCACTGTAAGCAGGGGAAGAGTGATTTCTTACTCTATGCAGGAATCCAGTACTGACAGCAGAGAACATGACACATGCCACTTAGAAACCCACATGGATTGTTAACACAGAACACACATGATTTTTCCTGTACTAAAACCAAACACACAATACTAACTGTTCTCTGATACATTGTTAATAATCTGTCTAGAAATAAACACTCCACCAACTTTCAACCTGAAATGGACTATTTTATCTTGGAAGTAGAAACTAACATCCCTGTACTTTCAAAGGTAGCAGAAAGAGCAAAAGGTTGGATTGGAGAAAATATTCATTAGTTATAGCTTTTAACTTCTTTTTTTTTTTTTTTTTTTTTTTGGGGACGGAGTTTCGCTCTTGTTACCCAGGCTGGAGTGCAATGGCGCGATCTCGGCTCACCGCAACCTCCGCCTCCTGGGTTCAGGCAATTCTCCTGCCCCAGCCCCCTGAGTAGCTGGGATTACAGGCACACGCCACCATGCCCAGCTAATTTTTTGTATTTTTAGTAGAGACGGGGTTTCACCATGTTGACCAGGATGGTCTCGATCTCTTGACCTCGTGATCCACCCGCCTCGGCCTCCCAAAGTGCTGGGATTACAGGCTTGAGCCACCGCGCCCGGCCTTTAACTTCTTTTTTTAAATAAAAGTCTGAATAATCATAAATGGCATAATGAACTAAAATTCATTATCAGAAAGTGCATTCTATTTCTGATAGAATTCTGTCAACCCTAATGGTTATCAACTACCAAACATATCTGATCTAGGGATAGAATTTTTGTACAATCTGAAATAATTCAGTCATGTGTTTATTTATTCTTTCTTCCCACTACAATATAGGCTTCATGAGGTTATGGGATTGATCACTCTTATGCCCCTAGAGCAGTGTCTGGCACATTGTGCCTTCCAATAAATTAATAAATGAATGAATAGTGGTGGTTTTCCAGAATTAGATCTTGTGTTAATACTCTTGTGTTAATAAATACATTGTAATAAATACTCATAGTATTTATTACAATGCATATTTGTTATTTATGAAGAAAAATATTCTGTCAAAAATGAAAATAAAATGCCTTTACTTCTTATTGATGCTTCTTGGTAAGTGTATGTCATATGAAATTAAGAGTTTCTCTAATTATCTAACCTGTCTTGTTCACCAATTAAGAAAAAATGTATTCTACCATAAGGCAGAAGAAGCTTTTTGCTAAATCATTGAATTTCTCTGGTTGTTAAAAGTTTTCTAGAATGACACTACTTTTTCTCAGTAGCTGAAGTGGAACGTACCCTTTTGAAGTTTGAGGAATCTTATTAGATTAAACAAATATATGGCAAACAATAAAGATGTCTACAAGCAGGTCCCTGAGTGTAACAAAATTAAAAAATAATAATTTATCCACTAGTTGAGGGCACAAAAATGGGTTATAGGACAATTACTTAAATTGAAACTTTGTCTCCTAATAAACTTTGAAATATTTTGCCATAAAAGGCTGATGTGATGAAGTTGAAACATTCATTAGTGAGTGTGAAGTCTATTGTATACAAAACAATTTAGATAACAGTAAAATATTCATATCAAATTGGCCCATTAAAGGAAATTCTCTTACCTGGTATCCTCTGATACAAGTTTAATGCTGACCGACAAACATGACTTGTAGGTTTTCTGCAGGCAAGTCTCTGTACCATATTTCTCAAGCCATGGATCACACTGAATTATCTTTTCTCAAGCCATGGATCACACTGAAAAAGATGCTAAACATCTTTTTCCTTTGTTTTGCTTATTATTAAGTGTGGATTAAGATCTAGATAATTGATTTTGAAGTTGTAAGATGTTAAATAGAAATTTTAATTACTAAGCAAGTTCAACCTGCTCTACATCAGCTCTAATTCCAGATTTGAACTTAAAAAGTTGTGTTACAAGAAACATGACCTACTTCTATTTACAAAATTATTAACTTTTGCTTCCGTGCGTTTTTAAACTTTGCTCATACTCAGCCAAAAAAAAAAAAGGAGATGCACTTAACGAACATTTGCAAGTGCCATTTTGACCAATCTTTTCACTAACCTCAGTGGTTTTTTTTAAGTCTTGCCTTCCATTTTCTTATAAGTCCTGACTCCACCTTATTTCTTTACTATAGTAATCAACTAAAAGGCTAAGAACAACGATCAATTTTAAAATAAGTCGAATAGCTTGATAGATTCCGTATTTCTCCCAATCCCATTGCCATCTCATCTTTTTTTATTCTTCTTGAGGAAAAAAACACAAATATATGTAGTATTAATGTGAGTTACTTTTTACATGTTAATTTCAATCTCACCCAGATATGTATAAAAAATATCTTATCATCCCTATCAGAAATAAGCTCCTTCCTTCTCATTCACAATTAAATCTAACACATACTCCTTAAAAGTAGGAGCAAAAAGGAAGGGCAGAAATTTCAGACATATTAGGAATATTGATTAACTGTATTCGTTTTGGATATGGCAATTCACTGAGTGAACAGAGCACTGTGGGTGAATCGTAGCAGATGCATATTGTTCAGGCTAAAGCCCTTTCAAGGACAGATGCCAAGGTGAGCAATACTCCTGGTTTCTCAGCAACGGAAAAGGATTTGTGAATGATTGTGAAAGATTTGCACCACCTCCTAGCTTCACTTAAGGGCTGCTCTGAAAACAGCTAAGCACAGCTTGGGAGTTTCATGTCACATCCTGTAGCCCTGGGTAAGAAGTGGTGAAATACAAACACTCACATACCCCACCACCACCACCACCACCACCACCACCATCACCATCACCACCAGAAAAGCCCTGCGGAGAAGCTATCAGGCAGGCGGGCTCTGCTTGGGAAGGCACAGTCAGCATCCTTCCTCAGCCCAAGCCAGAGGCTCACCTCCACCTCCAAGCTAGAGCTTTCAGGTCTTTATCCTTCTGGGCGTTTCCTTGCAAAGTAGAGGGATCTACGCTGGCCTTACCTCTGGGGCTGCTTTCTTGCAAGTACGGTGGGGCGGTGGGAGTGATATTTCCGGAGTGGGATGCTGACAGCAGAGGCGAGCGTTCGTCCACCCCGTCAGCAGCCATTACTGCGGCAGCGGCGGGGCCTGGGGAGGCTGAGCCGGGGTTGCGGCCTCGGCAGAGTGGTAGCTAGTGCTGCTGCCTCTGCTGCCGCTGCTGCCGCTGCTGCTGCCGCCTCCGGGAGGGCCCAGGATGTGTCACAAGGCAGGAGGCGGGGGGAGGGGAGGGGAGGGTGCGGGACCGGGAGGCGGCGGAAGGGAAGTGTGCTGGGAGGCTTGGCTGGGGGAGGGGAGAGGAGGGAAGGGAGAAAGAAAGAAAGGGTGGGAGGAGGGGGAGTAGAGGAGTGGGAGCCAGCTAGCCAGAGAAAGGGGGAACAAATTAGGACCAACTGGGAAACAGGAGGTAGGGAAGATGCTGAGTAACTGAAAGAGGGTCGAGAGTAAATGGGATGGTGGGGGCAAGTCCTTTTCTCTAGGAAAAACGGGTAAAAAGCAGCCTGAAAGGGGCTAGCGAAGAAGAAAGACCTGTGACTTGATTACAGGAAAACTGGAGCAAAAGCAGATTATCAAGTTTATCTCCCCTAGGGAGGAGGAGGGGCTGACTCTTTGCTGTCAAACTTTGCAGCAGTTATATAAAGAAAGCGTCTTCCTGGGGCTATCAATTCCTTCTCAAGGAGTTCTTTTTTTGTAGGAAATCAGTTTTCAACACCTGTTATCTAAGAGAAAGTAGATCTTTATGGAAGTGTCTGTTGGCATTTTCTGCTTTTCCTGATTGATTTTTTTTTAACAGGAATGTTGGCCTGACCAGTTTGGAACTCTGGTAACAGTACCTTTTTGGAACTGTGCTGTGTGTTGGCTTTTACGAGTTTCATTTTACAAAATAGGTTGCCTATTTTGGTTTTGTAGTCTATTGTCCCAGACACATATACAATAAGTAGGTTTATGAATAACGTCAAACAACTAAAAGTTTCTTGAGATAAAAGTTTTAAAATAGCTTTTTACTTGTAAAACAGAGTTCAAACAAACAAACAAAAAACCCTAAGCACTGACAAAAATTCTTTGCTTGGTCAAACAATTAAGGTTTCTGAATCTTCTGCTGGGCACATCTGCACTTCTTTATAAAACCCAGTTTTAGCAAATAACCCTTCTAACTTAATTTAGTAAGAAGCCCCATTCTCAATATTGATATCTGATCAGGTTTCTTATCCTCCACCATCCCCCACATGAGGCCTGAACACCCTGTTCTGTCTTCAGCAAGAATCCTGTTTCCTTGGTTTAGTCAGAATCCCCCTTTTCCCTCATGTTTCCTTGGTAATTTTCTATCCACTGCCCCTGTCCTGCATGCTATAAATTCCCACTTGTCCATGTTGTATTCAGAGTTGAACCTAATCTCTTCTTTAACTTGGCAAGACCCTGCTGCCATGGTCCCTATACCTGTCACTATGGTCCTGAATACAGTCTTCCCTACCATACTTTGACAAGAATCATTGAATAACTTTTTTCTTTAAAAACACAGTTCTTGCCACATTTTATCTGTTTTTCTTTTCTTTGGTGGTTTGTCTTATTTTAAAGTAGTTTACAAGTATATGAAAACAAATTAAAGTTTTGAACATGCCCGAATAAAAATGCAGTAGAAAAATAGACATGATCTAGTATGATAATTTTCCTGCAATAATTTTTTGAGTCACTCAAAAGAAACATTTATTACTCACTTACTAAGTCTAAAAGATAACTGGGACATGATCTCAGTTCTCAAGATGCCTGAGTCAAAAACAAATGGAAAATGAGGCTAGCTGTAGATTTCAGTGAGCATGAGGAAAAGCAGAGGTTAGACATATGAAACTACATCTCGAATTACATTAGAAAGTATTCTCACTCTGCTTTCCGAAGATACATTCTTTCCTCCAGAAAAATCCATTTAGGCACCAGCTGGAAATCCTAAGGGAAAATTAAATAATGATGTTTTCACTCACGCAGCATTTTTTGTGGGTCAGTAGCATCAGGATACAATACCTTATAAGGATCCCCATATGATATAAGGGCATTTATAGGTCTCCAGGAACCTGGAAAGTACAGGATCAAGATGTAGCAATTCCTGCAAAAGTGCCTATAATTTACAAAAATGAACAGCAGTGTGTTTATAGCTGCAGCCTGGAGACTATTTAGTTAAAGGAAATTATAAGAAAAATCAACAAAATCTTATACTATAGCATTCTATCATGTTACCTGTCACACTTCATTGTGACAACTCCAGCCCCAACTGACTTTCTGAGGTCAGAAACCTGTCTATCTTATTTATAACTAGATCTCCAGTATCTAGCACAATGCTTAGAACATTAGTAAGCACTCAATATTTGTCAAATAAACAATTGAGTGAATGAGCAAATCTACACAGTCCCAGAATCTTACTAAAACAAAATGTTTGGCATAAAAAGATTAAGAACATTTCTTTGCTTTTTGATGAAGATGACAGTTTTGCCATCTGACTGATCAATTTTTTTTATTCCATTATACCTTTACAACTAACTTCTTTTTTGCCCAAGTCATGATCAATATAAAGGGATTTTTTTCCTTTACTTAATTATATGATTTCTCTACTTCAGAACTCATTTGAGGCTGATGGCAGTTGTTCTTCTTACACTATAAAAGGTAGTAGATATACTGAGATTAGATTTGCAGCAATCTCAACTTCCACAAAAAGCAAAAGGCTTTTATGAGATGAGTACCACTTCATTCTAGTTTAAAGATAATACTATAGTTTATGGTTTCTCAATAGTTGTTAAATAGTACTCATCAATCCAAGGTATTTTTATGATTATGATTATGATACTTCGCCATCTCTATGAGATGAGCTAATGCGTCTATTAGAATAAAAATACTATATAAACAGAAAACATGTGGGATGTAACGCACTTAAGCTGCTGTTTCAATCATCTACTAAGTAACAAACTATATCAATACTCAGTGGCTTAAAACAACATGAGTTGTTATTTTCTATGATCCTGTAGTTGATTGGGTGGCAATTCTGTCAGACTTGCCTGAACTTTTAGGCAGCAGCATTCAGCTGGAAGGTTTGTTGGGGGCTAGGCTCAGCTGGGACATTTGGGATCACTGGGAAATTCTCTTCATGTAATCTTTATTTCAGGCTTCTTCATATACCTCGTAGCCTCAGAACAGTATTCTAAGATGATGATGGTGGAAACTAAGGGATCCCTAAGATCTATGCTCTGGTTCTGAAACATCACTTCTTATCACATTCTCCCACCATCAATAGCTTTCTCAGCCTGCCTCCTGCTCTCTTGGTGGGGGAGGGGAACAAGTATCCAGAGGCCTCTTCATAATCAAAGGAAGTCACAAGGCTGGTAGAGGAATAGATTCCACCACTTCAAGGGAAGAGTTAGCAATGTCACATTGCAAAGGGGTGTGGAACACAGGAAGGCATGATCCATTGGATATTAGACAGTCTGCCCACTGGTCGCTGTGGTTTGCATTCCCTGCAGGCAAACTACACTTATCTACTCCCAACACCCCAAAGTCCAATTTAGTCATTAAAGTCAACTTTATGTGTCTTTCACCTAAATCCAATCCAGGTGCAGTCAAAGTTCCTGGGGGATGATTCCACAGGTCTAGCTCCTTGGGTACAGCATCTGTTGATCCAGAGACCTGTGAACTAAAAGGACAAAGCACGTGCCCTTCTTCTCTCCCAGCCATCCCAACCCCCAACATTTAACAGAGGAACAGAAACAGGATAACAACTAACAGAACAAGAGGAGGGTGCATTCTGAATAGAAGGTACATAGAATACACAGGATGACAGAATTCTGAAATCCAGTTGGGCACATGTCACAAGTTGTTTTGACCCTAGAGGCAGGGAATGCTTCTTTATTAGGGCACACTCTTCTGTTGCTACTCCTTTTCCTCATCTATTCATATCCTTAGCACTTGGCCTTTCCCGCTGAGTCTGGACTTTTTCATAAGAAATGGCTCCTGTTTGCAGCTGCACAGCTTTCTCACCCTGCCTCTCCACAAAGTCAGTTGGGAGCCCAGAGACCTCTTTTCATTTTGAACTGCCTCTGTCCCTTTTAATCCAAATTGACACAACTTCCTTAGAAATGTGTGGGCTTCTCCTGTGAATTTGAATGGGGTTTCCCTCATGCTCCCAAAGCCACAAACATAAATTTTTTTTTTGAGACAGGTATTTCTCTATGTTTGAAGGCCACATTTGAGGCCCTTCAAATTCTTAGAAGCTCGTTTGCCTATTTAAGGAAGTCTCCAGGTCACTGCTTGAGTCTCTCAGAGGTCTTCAGAATGGGTTTTACAGCCATATCAATGATTTGAACTTTCTTCTGAGGCCACTTCTTACATTGAGAATCTTTTGCTAGATGAAAAACTGTCTTAAGCCCCATATATTTCCTCTAAATTCAATTGCAAACTGAAAGTTCCTACTTAGCTCATCTCTGTGGTTGGCAAAATAATGCCTCCCCGAAGATGTCCATGCTCTAATCCCCAGAACCAGTGAATATTTTATCTTACTTAGCAAAAGGGGTGTTGCAGATATGATTACAGGGTGCAGAACTTCAGATGGGAAGATTATCCTGGATGATCCATGTGAGCCAAACCTAATTATGAGTACTTAAAAGCTGAGAACCTTTCTCAGCTGTAGTGAGAGATATTCACAGGAGAGATTTAAAGTGAGAAAAGGACTCAGCCTACCATTGCTGTCTTTGAGGATGGAGGAAGGAATCAAAGAGTATGGGTGTCCTCGAGAAGGTGGGAAAGACTTTTAGCTGATAGCAGCAAGGACATATGAATGTTAGTCCTAAACCATGAAGAACTGGATTCTGCAAACAACCCAAATGAGCAAAGAAATAGATTTTCCCCTAGAACTTCTGGAAAGGTACATAGCCCTGATGACACCTTGATTTTAGCCTTTAAGCCATGATAAACTTCTGACTTACAGAACTATGAAATAATAAATTTGTATTAAGCTGCTAAATTTGTGGTAATTTTTATGGCATCAACAAAAAATGCAAACTTTCTCTTACAATACCTTATTTTACACAGCTCAAAGAAGCTAGTTATCGCTTTTAATATTTCATATGGAAATTAGTGAAATTCAACAAGTTCATTAAGACATTTTCTATTTTTCAGATAACTGCAGGCAACAGTTAATTGCCTTCTAGTCTCCAATAGCAATTTCCTCCCTACTCTTCTAGTTTCACTGTCTCCTCTCCACCCATTTCTGTATTGTTCTGTGCTTGGCCCTGAAGACAATGCCATATACTTGGTGTTTTGTTAGAGCAGTATCAATTTGCTACATTTATCTGTAGGTTTGTACTTTCAGTGCCAACTTCTATAGGATTTATCTGTTGCTTTGTACTTTTAGTACCATGTTCTGCTTTATTTATCTATTGCTTTGTAAGAATCCACCATCCTGAAACTTAGTGGATTGTCAATGTACTGTATTATTTTTGATAATCATTATGGCTAACTAGGTAGTTTTCTGCCAAGTCTCACCTGCACCCGCTTAGGCCAATGCATTCAGCTGGTGGATCAGCTGGGGACTGAGCTCAGTCAAGAAACCTGGTTGGCTGAACCTCTCTTTCCAAATGCAATTTCATCCTATTTTTCTTTATTGCATGATGGTCTCAGGACAGGGTTCTTGGAGGCCAAAGGCAGTGGCTGCGAGGCCTCATAAGTCCAAGGTTTTGGAATGCACATACTGCATTTGCCACATTCTAGTGGTCAGAAAAAGTCACATGGACAGCATATATTGAAGCAGGCAGGGGGATAAATTCAGTCTCTTGATGGAAGGTGTGGCTATGTCACTTGCAAAGGGGCACGGATGCAGAAAGGTGTGATTCATTGGGGACCTCATACAGTGATCTATCCCAGCTATGAACATGTCATTTAAGAAAAACAGAGAATAACGGAGGAGAGGTCTCCATGGAATGCCATGCTTTTGGAAATAAGTTTAATATGAAATTCTAAAGTCAATATGAGAAGTATATTTTCCAGCAGACACACTAATAATCCTGAGAGAATAAGGCCATATTCAGGAATTTAAAAGGGCACAACATTTTGCAGAAATAATGGAAGGTTGAAGGCTTAACTGCAGTCACAGAAGAGTACAGGGAGGCAGACAAAATGTTAGAGCCACTCAGCAGCCCAAAGCAGCAGTAGAGGAGCTTGGTGAAGGCTAAGGTATAGTTGTGGAATAGAACTAGAGACATCCTGTTTTCCTGTATTATTTCCAGACACTTCAGGGAAAAGAAGACCACATGGTTTCCTCTCAGCTGAGTAGTTCTTCAGAAAGAGGCATCATGAGCATTCTGTTGGTGCTGTTGCAAAAAATCTTCAAAGTTCAAACCTTTGGATTTTGTGGTCCAGAGTTCCAGTCTTTTGTGTTCTTGCCAATCCTTTAAATCCCCATTCAAATGCAAGGTTGAAATTATGTTTTCCTCTACTATAATTGCATGACCTTTTTTTTTTTTTTTGCCATGATAACATTATTTTAAAATAGTTTTTATTCTGTTTGACATATACACATAGGCAAAGACTACTTATTTCTTTGTAGCATCTTCTATCATAGCACCACATACATATCTGGTGCTCAGTAAAGGTTGTTGTTGTTTTTTTTTTCCAATTAATTAGTTCTAGGTTGCCTCTATTGTCTCAGTTTCATCAGCAAAATTGAGGTAGCTGTCCTGCATCTCACAGGATGCTAATAAGTATAAAATAAGATAAAAGCTCTAAGAGTGGAATGCAAAAGAGTGAAATGCAAAGTTCAACACAGAACATGTAACTTGAAGTTGTATGAAACTTTCCCTGTTATACAAAACATAACTAGGGTCCAAAAATGAGGATGGAGCCCCCATATACTAAATAAGCAGAACTGGCCCCTCACTAACCACAATTACCCAAATCCATATAAACAGGAGAATAGAAAAGAGGAAAATGGGAATTATTGGAGTCATGATTTTTGGCTTAGGAGGTACTGCTATGGCTTGCCCCTGCCCCTCCCCAAAAAGCCAAGTGAGACAGACTCTAAGGGAGTCACTGGCAGTCTGGGGGTATCTGCAAAAAAGGAAAATCAGCACCTCACTTTCTAGTTGTACATCAGATTAGGTCCTAGACTAGTCAGTCTTCTCAAAGTCTATGTGAACAGGAGAAAAACAACTTGAGAATGATGGCAGGGCACACAGAGAGGCCTGTGGTGCAGCTCAGCTATCAATTCTGCTTTGATGAGAGCATATAAGTTTCCGTTAGGCAAAGTGAGCACCACAAAAAATACCTGCACTTATGCCATCATGCTGACACCAACACAGAAAGCTAACTCGTTGGTGAAATAACCAGCGACAAGAGTCCATGGAATATATTAGTAAATGCAGGGCCTTGTAGGGTTAGATGAGGTGAAGCAGGACAGTGTGGTTTGGGAAGGCTTTGAAAGGACTTATATTTGTATCTCCTCTAGAAATCCAGTATTTCAGTGCCTGCCATTAAGAGAGCATTGTCAATGGACAGTCATTATTGGCCCAACAATTAGTGTAAAACACAGGAAAGAAGACTTCAGTAATGGTCCAATGAATCTTTTGGATTCCTCCTTGTGTCCGCTCACTGGAAAAGCTAGAATATACAAGAGGGAAGAAGAAGCTGAGAAGCAGAGGCAAACTATTTTGTCCCCAAGGTAGATAATGGGAAAGAAATAAAAAGAAGACCATATCCTCCTTCCCTATGTTAGGTCCCTTAAGCCACAATGCTAGAAGTTAGCCGCAAAGAGAAAATCTTCAATTTGCATAGGAAATTTGATTTTTAGACAAAGTGTTTCTGTTTCTGTTTTTGTTTTAGGCAGGGTCTCTGTCTCCCAGGTTGGAATGCAGTGGCATGATCTCAGCTCACTGCAACCTCCCCCACCCCATCCCTGGGTTCAAGTGATCCTCATACTTCAGGCTTCTAAATAGCTGGGACTACAGGCAGTGTACCACCACACCTGGATAATTATTTTTGTATTATTAGTAGATGGGGGTCTCATTATGTTGCCCAGGCTGGTCTGGAACTCCTAAGCGATCCACCTGCCTTAGGCTCCCAAATTGCTGGGATTACAGGTGTGAGCCACTTCGCCTGGCCAACAAAGTGGGTTTTTAATCTCTGAAATGGACTGGGAAATTACCGAATTTTCCCAAGATGTGATAATGTGGTAAGATATCTGCTACAGGAGACAAGGGGAATTTAAAATGGCCTTGTTAGTGGCAGTATTTCAAGAAAACTATAAACGTTTCTGATTTATTCTTCTATAAGTTCAGCTTATTTAATAACCTACAGAGAGAGAGAGAGAAAGAGAGATGACTATTACCATGAATTCATGTTCCCCTTGATTTAAACATTTTTAACTAATAAATATAAGTATTTGGTACTAAATCCTGGGGTTACAAGATGGGACAATATTGAGACAAACCATTCCTTCCTATAATGGAGTTAAATACAATTGTAAGAAGAAGTTGGGAAGATTACCAACATATACTGAAAATCTGACCACGTATCACCATTGTAACAAATTATTTTGGTCAAAAATACTTTTTGATGTTTCCAGACACCCTACACAGCTAGATTGGTATGTAAGCATTATCTTTATCTTTCTTTCTTTCTTCTTTCTCTTTTTTTCCTTCCTTCCTTCCTTCCTTTCTTCTATCTTTCTCTCTCTCTCTCTCTTTCTTTCTTCTATCTATCTCTCTCTCTCTCTCTCTCTCTTTCTTTCAGACGGAGTCTTGTTCTGTTACCAGGTTTGAGTGCTGGAGTGCAGTGGCACGATCTTGGCTCACTGCAACCTCCGCCTCCCGGGTTCAAGCGATTCTCTTGTCTCAGCCTCCTGAGTAGCTGAGACTATAGGTGCGTGCCACCACGCCCAGCTAATTTTCGTATTTTTAGTAGAGACGGGGTTTCACCATGTTGGCCAGGATGATCTCCATCTCTTGGCCTTGTGACTCACCTGCCTTGGCCTCCCAAAGTGCTGGGATTCCAGGCGTGTGCCACCGCACCCAGCCTAATTAAGCATTATCATTGCGGCCTTGAAGGATCAAGTTTCTCTGAAAAATATCTGGGTGTGTGTGTTCCTTAGGGTTAAAACAGTTTTTAAAAAGTAATCTTGTTCTTCATTAAACATTTATTTAACTTTTTGAACATTGCATTTTTCCTTCTAATAAAATTTGGCTTTGATGTATTATTCTTATAACTTAATTGCTTTGCTAGTGTTTCCAAATTAATGATCTCATCTAGACTAGTAATCCAAAAGGTTATTAGTTTAACTCAGTATATTCTCAGGATCTTTGGATAAATCTTAAGAAGACAGCCTAGGAAAAACAATATTAGTTGAGGTGGTGCAAAATAGGTTTAGTGACTCTTTGCTTTTTTTTTTTTTTTTTTGAGACGGAGTTTCGCTCTTGTTACCCAGGCTGGAGTGCAATGGCATGATCTCGGCTCACCGCAACCTCCACCTCCTGGGTTCAGGCAATTCTCCTGTCTCAGCCTCCTGAGTAGCTGGGATTACAGGCACGTGCCACCATGCCCAGCTAATGTTTTGTATTTTTAGTAGAGACGGGGTTTCACCATGTTGACCAGGATGGTCTCAATCTCTTGACCTCGTGATCCACCCGCCTTGGCCTCCCAAAGTGCTGAGATTACAGGCTTGAGCCACCATGCCCGGCCAACTCTTTGCTTTTTTAATAAACAGAGTAAACATACCTGAGACTGAATTGTGTGCCCCTCCCCTCACCATTCACATGTTAAAGCCTAATCTCCAATGTGACTATATTTAGAGATGGGACATTTAGGAGGTAATTAAGGTTAATGAGGTTATAAGAATGGGGCCCTAATCTGGTAGACAGAATGTTCTTATAAGAAGAGACACTAAAAGCTTGTTCACTCACTTACTGTCTCCACAAGCATGCATCATGGAAAGGCTACCAGCAAGTCGGGAAGAAAAGTCTCGCCCAAAACAAAAACCTGCTGGACATAGATCTTGGGCTACAGACTGTGAGAAAATTAACTTCTGTTCTTTAAACTATGCAGTCTGTGGTATTATGTTACTGCAGCTGAAGCTGACCAATAATCAACACTATCTGCAAAGAATAAGATAATTTTAAAAAACCCATTTAGCCCTTGGACACACACACTTCACAGAGAAATGTATTTGAGAACCATAGAATCATTTGATACATGTAAAAGTATTTTAGGATGAGAAACTTCCCTTTCCTATGGTTTCAGAAACCAATTGGGTAAGAAAAATAACTGTTATCTATTTGGAAATTGGTATTTCCAGCACTTCCTCCAGTGAGATACAGAATCACATTCTTATTTTATGTTTTTGATTCCATCTTGTCTGACTGTATGGCATTTAAGTCAATCATCCCAATTTATTTAACCAGTCTGCTATTTTTCAGTGTTTCAGAATTTTCATAATATTTCACTATTCATTTGGCAAATGTTTACTGAGCACCTACCCAGCATTATTTTAAGAGATACAAAATTCCTGACATTGTAACACAGGAAGATGAGCAAAATTCAATTTAACATGGTTGTATATCAGATGGAAATAAATATCATGGAAGGAAATAGGAAAGGTGAGTGGAGGGAGCACATTGCTTTTTACGTGGAGGGAATAGGATCAGCTTCACTGACACTGAAGCAGAAATGCAGATGGTGAACAGCAAAGCCCTGAAGAGGAAGCATGTTTGGTTCTTGTAGGAACAGCAGCAAAGACTGTGTAGCCTAAGGAAAGGGAGCAAGGAGAGAAGGGGTAGAAAGTAAGAGATTAGACCAGAGAAGTTTGGCATGGACTTTGATGGGGACGATGACATGGAGCCAGTTGGGTTTTTCCTCTGAGATGAGAAAATTATAGAGCTCCTAAAGGCTTTTGAAGAGTGACCTTATTTGACATAGGTGTTAAAAGGATTATGGTAACTACTATGTGAAAATTGGATTATAGGTAACAAAGGAGTGGAGGAAGAGAGAGGGATCAGATTCTGGACATATTGTGAAGCTAGATCTAACATGATTTGCTCATAAGTTGCTGTAGAATATGATAGACAGAATCAAGGAGGACTTCAATCTTTGAATAGGTTTCTGATTATTTATTCCTGATAATTTTTTTGAATTGGAAGCCTAGATCAAAGAGTATGCACATTTAAAAGTCTTTCAGGTACATATTTTCACATTGTCCTCTGAAACTTGAAAAAAACATTTTTACCTATTTTTTTTTTTGAGACGGTGTCTGAGACTATTTCTCAGCAGCATAGGAAAATAACATGGTATTATCATTGTTTTTAGTATTGACTGTTTAACAGGGAAATATGTTTTTGTGTCTTAGTTTTAATCCTTAATGATTCTGAATATTTAACATTTTTATTGGTCAATGGTATTGACCATTTTTTTTCCACTAGGAAGTTCATCATTTTATCATTTAATATTTTTAATTATAATTCTTTTTAAAATTTTACTTATTTATAAAATCCATTATCTTTTTCTCCTGGAAACTCAGAAAAACTAAATTTCTCAGCCATTCTTGCACTTAGAGGCAGTCATATGTCCAAATTTTGGCTAGTTGAAGGTCAGTGGAAGTGATGTAGACTACTTGTAGATCATGTAGGCTATGAAAACCTCCTTTGTATGATCCTCCATACTCTTTTCTACTCAAAGCTGGGTGGAAAGAAAAAACCCTAAAGGAGCCCATGGGAGTCACATGTTGAAAATGGCACAAGAAGGAAGGATCTGCCACTGAGATTTCAGGGTTTATCAATTATAGCAGCAGGTGCGTTTCCTAACTATTAAAGAAATATATTGAAACAATTATAAGAATTTCTTTATCTTCATAAATTAAATATATGGACCTTTTGCTGTATGGAGAAATTTAAAATGTTCTTCTTTGACTGGACACTGATCTACGATTCCTGGTACTGAGAGACTGACCCACTCCTCTAGCTTCCTTCTTTGAGCTAACAATTCCAAAAACAGAATGTAATGGAGTCAAATAGGTCAAATCATTCTCGCTCTCACTCTCATGATCTCGCTCACACAAAATGATTGCAATACTTTCCTAAGCCAAGCCAACAAACTGACAACATTGTAAATTTGTCATAGAAAGACTCTTTGTTTCCTATTTTCCAGAAAATACTCTGGATATTCTCCCTGTTGCAACAGGCTGCATAAAGTGCCTAATACCTGCAGTCTCAGACAATTTTGAAAGTTATAAACTGTAATAAATAAGGCAAATAGTACTTCCTAATTTATAGTTTCTCTTTCAGTTTTTTTCTGTGTTTAAAACATTCTTACTATCTACATTCTGTCTCTGTATATAATATTTCTTTATATTCTCTGTCATTTACAGCCCATGAAATCTCAAACTGTCTTCTTTTGCTGATAGAAATCCTGTCCTCATTCTTTCTTGCTTCATGTTAAGCCCAGAATACATGATACTCTTAAATTAAATGGCATCTAGATGTGTGCCATTTTACTCATTGTTCTTTCACCTTTAGTGAAAGAGTGGGTGGAGTGTTGTGTCTCACTTGGTTCCTCTCACACTTAGTGAACATTCATGCTGAAGGCTGCTCTCCCTTTTTGGTCATCTGACACTTGATATGCCTCATGTCACTCAGTCTTTCTGAGGGACACTGTCTTGATTGCCTGGACAGCTTA